GTGCCCCAGATGTCATTCTTTTGAGGGAATTTGGCAGGCTGCACTTAGCCTGGGCCTGGGCCTTAGCCCGCGTCAAAAAATGTATTTGCTAGATTCCAACGTGATTTATGTTAGCGAGAGGACAATGGGCCTAAGCCTTGGAGCTTCTATTCCACATTTTATTTTCACCGTCTCATTGGCTTGGTCTTTGGTAGCAGCTCTGAAACCCTGCTGCATTCACAATTTCTTTTCAACCATCTGAACAAGTTGGGATTTCGGTTCAAAGACCCAATAACTTCAAGCTCACATTCCTTTATTATAGTCAATGTTCTTATGATTTGGTTATTATATGTTGGGCCCCTGACCTTTGGCTCAAAGCTCAGTTTGCATGTTTTTAAGCCTAAATGTCTGGCTCATGAATACTACGTGCTGTCTTCACAATATTGATTCCCTATTCTAATGTAATAGGATAGAAGGCTATGGGCCTGTGTTTAAGAGCCCATCTCATTCTCTCAAAATGAAATGGCTAATACTGGGCATTGCCTCAGAGATTTCATTGAAATTTGTTCGTCCTTGGCCTCAGGTAAGAAGTGCACTTATATTACACTGGACTTCGGCCTCCAATTGTCATTTCATATATGATATTTCTTAGTCTAAGGGTTTGGGACTTGGCCTTATTCTAAGGGATGTGGTGTTGATTAAACAATGCTTGGATCTTGCCTCAGAGCTCCTATTCCAAATTATATAATTCAGAGTCCAAATTGCTGGCCCATGCTATTGGATCTTTGCATAGATTTTAGGTCTTTCTTTTCAACATTATTGTCCTTGTCTTAAAGTTTAGTTCATTGTTAGTGGGCTACGGACCAGAGCCTTAGAACACAAGTCCTAGACTTTTATCTTTCTTACCTAAATGAAAGAAGCTTGAGAACAAGACACTGGGCCTCGGCTTCGTAGACCCAAACAAAATTTCTTGGTACTATTGTAAGGATTTTATTTCAGGGGAGATGATGCTCGGCCATGGCTGCTGTTCAACTTTTTAATCTTTAGACACAAAATGTCTGGTTCATGGGTATTTGTTCTTTCCCTGGACTTTAGTAATTTCATGGCAAATTATTATCAGTCGTAGAGACTAATGAGACATTTCTTATATTTTGTATCCTTAAGTGTTGGTTTGAATTCCTGGGCTTTTGGCCTTTGCTTCAGAATCATTCCCCAGATGTCATTCTTTCGAGGGAATTTGGCAGGGTGCCCTTAGTCTGGGCCTGGGCCTTAGCCCTCCCCAAAAAATGTATTTCCTGTATTCCAAGGTGATTTATGCTGGTGAGAGGACAATGGGCCTAAGCCTTGGAGCTTCCATTCCATGACTATATGCGGAATTTCATTGTGAATGCAGTTGGGTTTCAGAGCTGCTACCAAAACCAAGCCAATGAGATGGTGAAAATAAAATATGGAATCGAAGCTCTAAGGCTTAGGCCCAGCGTCCCCTTGCTAACATAAAACACCTTGGAAAATCGCAAATTATTTTTTTGCGGAGGGCTAAGTCTCAGGCCCAGGCCAAGGGCACCCTGCCAAATTGCCTTGAAAAAATTTCATTTGGGGCATGATTCTGAGGCAAAGGCCAAAAGCCCTGTAACTAAAACCAACACTTAAGGATAGATTAGAAATTGCCGTGAAATTACTAAAGCCCAGGAAAAACTCAATTACCCATGAACCAGACCTTTAGTGATTTAAAATTAAAAATTTGAACAAGAGTAATTGCCTAACATCATCTCCCCCGAAAATAAAATCCTTACAATAGTACCAAGAAATTTTATTTGGTTCTCTGAAGCCCAAGCCCAGTGTCTTGTTCTCAAACTTCTTTTGTTTAGCTAAGAATAATCAAAGTGTAGGATTTGTGTTCTAAGGCTCTGGTCTGTAGCCGACTATGAATGAACTACAAGTAAAGAGAAAGACAATCATGTTGAAAAGAAAGACCTAATATCTACGCAAAGTTCAAGTAGCATGAGCCAGCCATTTGGACTCTAAAGAATCAAATTTGAAAGAGGAGCTCTGAGGCTTGGTCCCAGCATCATTTCATCACCCCACATCCCTTAGAATAAGGCCAAGACCTAAACACTTAGGATATGTCCTATAATATTAGAATGGAAATTTGGAGGCCGAAGCCCAGGGTCTTATAACTGCACTTCTGAAATGAGGAAAATAGCAAAGATAATTTTTACGAGGGCTAAAGCCCAGGCCCAGGCCAACAGTACCCTGCAAAATTGTCTCGAAATAATGACTTCTGGGTCATGATTCTGAGGCAAATGCCAAAAGCCCAAAAAATAAAGCCAACACTTAAGGATAGAGAATGTAATAAATCTCTCATTAGTCCCCATGATTGAAAAGAAATTGCCATGAAATTACAACGGCCCAGGAAAGGAACGAGTACCCATGAACCAGACCTTAAGTGTCTAAAGATTAAAAATATGGCCTTACATTATCTCCCCCGAAATACAATCCTTAGAATAGTACCAACAAATTTTGTTTGGTTCTCTGAAGCCTAGGCACAGTGTCTTGTTTTGAAACTTCTTTCGTTTAGCTAAGAAAAATTAAAGTGTAGAATTTTTGCTCTAAGGCTCTGGTCTGTTGCCCACTGACAATGAACTAAACCTTAAGACAAGGGCAATAATGTTGAAAAGAAAGCCTTAACATCCATGCAAAGTTCCAGTAGCATGACCTAGCCATTTGGTCTCTGAAGAATCAAATTTGGCACAGGAGCTCTGAGGCAAGGTCCCAGTATCATTTCATCAACACCACATCCCTTAGAATAAGGAACAGACCTAAACACTTAAAATACGAACTATAATATTTGAGAACATACTTCAGAATATATCATATACATTTCTTTGGGGAGGGCTCAGGCCCACTCCTAGTTGCAGGCCCTTGTCTTATACTTGGTACTCTGCTATTTTTCCTCGAAAAAAAAAATTCTGGGACATGATACTGAGGCAAAGGCAACTCCTAGGAAAAGAGCAAGTATTCATGAACCAGACATTTAGTAGCTAAAGATTAAAATTTTGAACAGGAGTCAAGGCATCATCTCCCCCAGCATGAAATATTCAGAATAGAACCAAGAAATCTTGTTGGGCTTTCTGATGGCCAGGCACAGGTTCTTATTCTTTTTTTTATTATTATTCTTAGCCAATTTTCTTCCCAATTTAGTCGGCTCCAATTCCACCCGCTGGTTAGGACTCCCCCAGTCATACGATACTATCAACGCTAGGATGGTGAAGGCTAGCACAGCCAACTCATGTTTTCGATGAGCCGCTCACGCAACGTCATTGGACAGCTGAACGCGCTCGGAGGGGAGCGCGATCTGCCAGATCTGTTAAGTCAGATAACAGACGCCTGCGCTGACTAGCATCGCGTTGAGTGAGGGGGTGGGGGGGGCATCCTACCCACGCAGAGAACGAGGCCAGTTGTGCCCTCTTGGACTCCCGGCCACTCCCGAACTCGCGGTCTCCTCATGACAGGACGAACGCTTAGACGGCTGCACCACTCGGGAGCCCAGGTTCTAATTCTTAAGCTTCTTTTGTTCAGATAAGAAAGAATAAAGCCTCGGAATTGTGGTCGAATGCCCTGGTCCGTAGCCCACTAACAAGGAACCAAACCTTAAGACAGTTGAAATATTGAAAAGAAAGACATAAAACCCAGGCAAAGAACCAGTAGTATGAGCCCTCCATTTGGACTCGACAGAAGAAAATGTGGAATAGGAGCTCTGAGGCCAGGTTCCAGTATCATATATCATCAAGACAATAAACGTTAGAATAAGGCCAAGACACAAAGTTCTTAGAATAGGAACTATAACATTTGAATGGTGATTTGGATACCAAAGCCCAGGGTCTTATAACAGCACGTCTGAACTGAGGGCATGGACGAAAAGAAATTGCAATGAAATCTCTCAGCCAGTTATACCCTGGACCAAAAATCACCTTATATGACAAAAAAAACGACTACTTTCACTTGGGTGACAACAACTGTACAATCGTGAAGTCATGGATTTAGGCGTTTCTTCACATGGAAAAAGCGTTTGCAGCACTGACCAAGCGCTCAAACGCTTTAGACAGCCTGGAATCGCTATTTAGTATCCTGTTTACGTGAACTCATTATAACCATCATTAAACCTAGTTGATGCCAGATATTGTCCTTTATGTGTGATGCAACAGACGATAAATAAAATTTTGCAAAGAAAAAATATGATTACTTTCTCTTGGGTGACTACACCTGTAATATAATGTAGTCGTGGATTCAGGCGTTTCTTCACACTGAAAATGAGTTAGCAGCACTCCACAGGCGCTCAAATGCTTTAGAATGGCTGGAAACGCTATGTAATGTTCTCCTAATGGAACAGACAGTAAATCACATGTTGCAAGGGATAAATATAACTACTTTCACTTGGGTGACTACACCTGTACAATCATGAAGTCATGGATTTAAGCGTTTCTTAACAGTGAAAAGGCGTTTGCAGCACTCCACAGGCGCTCAAACGCTTCAGAAAGGCTGGAAACGCTATGTAATGTTCTCCTAAAGGGAAATCATTATAATGATTACGAACAGACATTCACATCGTGAAATGTCCTTTATACGTAAGGGAACATACATTAAATAAACTTTTCTTATCAAAATAACATTTTGCAAGGAAAAAATATGATTACTTTCACTTGAGTGATTACATCTGTACAATCATGAAGTCATGGATGTAGGCGTTTCTTCACACCGAAAAGGCGTTTGCAGCACTGCACAAGCGACAAAACGCTTTAGAAAGGCTCGAAACGCTATGCAGGTACACTTATTATGATCAGAAATAGACATATCTGCAATAAAACACGTTTTATATGTAATATTACAGACAGTATATCACGTTTTACAAGGGAAAAATATAACTACATTCACTTGGGTGGCTACATTTGTACAATCATGTAGTCATACCCAGATAGCAAAGTAACGTTGATATCGCGTCATGATAGCAAAGTAACGTTGAATCAACGTTGATATCGCGTCATTTTCGTCTTTTTTTGGTTGATGACCAAAAATCAACTACAAATCAACGTTGCCATAGGTTGAATCCTTAAACCTTGTTTCAACGTTGAAAGCAAGACGTTGAATCAATGTTGAATTGTAGTTACTGTCTTCAACCATACTAACTCTGCTAGCAAATAGGCTGTTTGGCTGAGTGTTGAAACTGACGGCTGACTGAGACTCGCGCAAAAACAGCATCTGACCCATGTATGGCAAAGCTTAAAAAAGGTATTGTTTTCAGTGAGGTAGGCATTCCTCTGTGGGCTTGACCATGGTATATGAACAATATGTGCTTCTAATTGCTAGGCTCTACTAAGGTTTTGATGGTGCAATATGTATTTCTAAATGTAAATTATGTTGCATATAGTGTTTTCTGACCAAAAACCAAGATGTATTCCTTATGCATGCTGATTTATAAGCATATATTTAAAACAATCAAGCAAGTTTTACTTTGTAAGAATTCGTGAAATAAGCAAAAAAAAAGGAACATTGCTTTCATCTTTTATCAACTTCATAGCACATGCGAATACACTACCTTTGTAAAAAAAAAGGCCGCTTTTAAGAATCATAAAAAAACAACTGAATCCCCAAAATGTCCGGCCTGACCCCGCCCTTATAGCGCGAGTCTCTCGAAATTCGATGTGACCGTTAAGCCAAACGCGACCGTTTCCAGCTGTGTATATTCAAATCATACTCACCAAATGAACGATACCTGTTTAACTACAATTCTATTAACCTGGTACAGTAAAACCTCTTCACAACATTCGCTTATGCTCATTACTTAGATGACTGATGCGTGATGACAGAAACTGCAGCTCCAAAACACTGAAGACTCTTCTCACCGAGCGCTAACGCGTATACGTTACTGGATCATGTGGAATGAGGACGAACTCACTTCCTCTGCTTGTAAAAGGTGAGCAGCGGTGAAATAAGGTTTAAAACCACGGTCACGATTGAATTTCAGCTTACATACTCTTAGCTGTGTCTGTCAGCCGACACTACCTTTTGGGTAAGTTAGTTTAACGCTAGCATAATCTTAGTTTAGCGAAAGCTAGGTCGCCTGCCTGTAACCCTTGATGTTGCTTAGCAACCCCACAGCGCGGCTACGGCATTTAGGAAGAGCAGGAATCGCTCTGAGCTGATGTGGAGCTACAGCTGAGTAAGCTAACAGCTAGCTACGTTTGTGTAGGTAGCAGAAGGCAGATAAAACATTTAGGAAGGTAAATCAAAGAAACATCCCTCACGCAGAGAATTAGGATAGTAAATTAAAGTGTCAGATGTATAACTTTATGCTAGTTTAGTCTGCACTACACTGAGATTTTAGGGGTTTGGCTTAAACTACTAAGTCACTTTGTGGTAAAACTACTATCAGTATGGTTTGCTGCAGTATATTAAAATGCTTCATGTCTGTATTTTATTTCACAGAGCTTTGGAAATCACCAGCAGAATGACTGGTAAGACTGAAATGACGTTTTGACTAATATGGACCTAACAGTCAAGCTGATTATTATAAAGATGTGTGTCAGTGCCTTAGAAATACAGCACCTTCATGAAATCTTAAAGCTACTTTCGTTATTCTAACATTTTGTGTTACAGCCTTAAAAGAAAACTGATTACAGTCGAGGGGCAGGAATCTCTTGGCACAATGTGATATGATTTGGTTTGATTGAATTTCAATTTAAAATAATGCCAAGATGCAATTATAAAACCATTCTTGTTCCCTGTTGCTACATGTTGATGTGTCTTCATTTTTATTTCTAAAGTCTATGATTTTTAATTATTATCATTAACATGGTTTGGTCCAGGGCGGCACGGTGGCGCAGTGGGTAGCGCTGTCGCCTCACAGCAAGAAGGGCCTGGGTTCGATTCCCGGCCGGGTGACCAGGGTCGTTTCTGTGTGGAGTTTGCATGTTCTCCCCGTGTCTGTGTGGGTTTCCTCCCACAGGCCAATTGGACATGCTGGATTGCCCCTGGGTTTGAGTGTGTGTGTGGATGTGTTTGTCTGCCCTGCAATGGACTGGCAACCTGTCCAGGGTGTATCCTGCCTTCCGCCCGATGACGGCTGGGATAGGCTCCAGCACCCCACCGTGACCCAGAAGGATAAGCGGACCACCACAAAGCAGGTATTATTTGGGTGGTAGATGATTCTCTGCACTGCAGTGACACTAACGTGGCGGTGACATGGTAGTGGAATGTTATTGTGTGTTATGTGTGCTGCACTAAGTGGATCACACACAACAGCTTTTTTAACTACTCAGAGTCACTGCTGGCTGAGAACAGTTGGCCAACCAAATATGTCCAATGTTTTGTGTCCAGAAACTGACCACTGATTAGATCAAGAGGAAAACTAATGCAAACTGTGCAGCAACAGATGAGTTATAGTCTACTGCTTTACATGTACAAGGTGGAACGACAAGGTAGTTGTGTCTAAAGCAGCAGACAGTGGAAGAGGAGCTAACAAAGTATGCAGAGAAACAGATGGACTACAGTCTGTAATTGTAGAACTACAAAGTGCACCTATATGGTAAGTGAAGCTGATACAGTGGACAGGGGTTTTACCTAATAAAGTGGCCCCACACACACACACATAGTTGTATGCAAACATTGGGTTAATTTTCTGAGTGGAAATAAGTTCATATTTTTATGCACAAATACTGTGTATTTACTAAATTTAACATAAGATAAAAAAAAAAACAACAAAAAAAACCATAAAATGTGGCCCATGCAAATGTCATAGTGTGGTAAGCATGGTCGCCACTTTGGTGGTGCTGTGGTCAATAAGTGGTCTGGAGGCTCCCCATTCAACACTCTTGGACATCAGAACTCAATTCCACAGTGCTCTGAGGTTTATTGTGGTTTTTGCACACAAAAGTATTTACACTCGCGAGAGAAAAATGAAAAGAAATCAAAGCTGTAGCCAAATGAATCCACTGACTCCGCAGTCAGCAACAGAACTAAAGCGATTGTGTTGCATTGGGTCTGAGGCTGCGAAGCCACACAGACCTTCCCCAAACATACTTCAACTCCTCCATAGTCCCCCTTCCCTTTTAACCTGGTAGCCCCGCACACATTAACTCTGAGTCATACCATTATCCACAGTCTAGGGGTGACAATAGAACAGACAATACACACATAAATCACCTATATACATACATACAATGGCCATTTTCCTCATATACACACGTGCACATTTATCTTAGAAATGATTGCTAAACTTGCTATATTTAACATTATATTTTCTTCTTTACAGGTACCAGCGACCTGGCTCCCACCTCGCCTGGGTCCCCCAGGACCTCAGGTAAGTAGAAATTTAAATTAACACAGTTAGGTGCCTGTCAAAATGAAAGTCACCATAGTATTTATTGAGGGAAGGTGAATTGTAGTCCTGGTGAGACACATAGCACTTTTTATATTTTGCCTTTTATTTTTTTCAACATGTTAAACTTAGCAAAAAAATAGAAATTGTGCACTAAAACATGCAGGAAATGGCATATTTAAATGCATTCCCCATAGAGAATGTATTTAAAAACAGGGATATTCAAACCTTTTGTACACACAGCCCTATGTTGATAATATTATGTTAGTAATATTATACTGAGTGAAAAATGTTTGTTTCTTGTACAGATGGGGGGAAAGAGTACCTTTTCAGTGGAACAGAGGAGAATCAGTTGAGATAGAGTTCTTGTCCAAAAGCTAAGTCTGAGGTTTACAGCAAAACAGCCAACAGGAGCTTGGAGGGAAAAAGCTGTCCCACAACAAAAGCCCAGCTCAAGAACCCCTAGAGACCAGAGAAGTTTGGAGCTTTAAAAGGTACGCTCTCTGTCTCACACACACACACACACATTGCCATTCGCCTACAATACAGGTTCCAAACCCTGATCCTGGAGAACCCTTACGCTGCACATTTTAGTGTTTTTTGCCCAGACACGCCCACTTCAGGGCTGTTAATGAGATAATTATTAAGTCTAGACCTGTCACCATTGACAACATTTGGTGCATTATAAAGTGAAAAATATGAGAAAAAATACAAAGGAGATCCTGAACTGTTGAGCGGCTGAAATCCTACATTGAGCGAGAACAGGAAAACATTTCACTTTCAGAACAGTAACTGGAAGGTGAATTGTAGTCCTGGTGAGACACATAGCACTTTTTATATTTTGCCTTTTATTTTTTTCAACATGTTAAACTTAGCAAAAAAATAGAAATTGTGCACTAAAACATGCAGGAAATGGCATATTTAAATGCATTCCCCATAGAGAATGTATTTAAAAACAGGGATATTCAAACCTTTTGTACACACAGCCCTATGTTGATAATATTATGTTAGTAATATTATACAGAGTGAAAAATGTTTGTTTCTTGTACAGATGGGGGGAAAGAGTACCTTTTCAGTGGAACAGAGGAGAATCAATTGAGATAGAGTTCTTGTCCAAAAGCTAAGTCTGAGGTTTACAGCAAAACAGCCAACAGGAGCTTGGAGGGAAAAAGCTGTCCCACAACAAAAGCCCAGCTCAAGACCCCCTAGAGACCAGAGAAGTTTGGAGCTTTAAAAGGTACGCTCTCTGTCTCACACACACACACACACATTGCCATTCGCCTACAATACAGGTTCCAAACCCTGATCCTGGAGAACCCTTACGCTGCACATTTTAGTGTTTTTTGCCCAGACACCCCCACTTCAGGGCTGTTAATGAGATAATTATTAAGTCTAGACCTGTCACCATTGACAACATTTGGTGCATTATAAAGTGAAAAATATGAGAAAAAATACAAAGGAGATCCTGAACTGTTGAGCGGCTGAAATCCTACATTGAGCGAGAACAGGAAAACATTTCACTTTCAGAACAGTAACTGGAAGGTGAATTGTAGTCCTGGTGAGACACATAGCACTTTTTATATTTTGCCTTTTATTTTTTTCAACATGTTAAACTTAGCAAAAAAATAGAAATTGTGCACTAAAACATGCAGGAAATGGCATATTTAAATGCATTCCCCATAGAGAATGTATTTAAAAACAGGGATATTCAAACCTTTTGTACACACAGCCCTATGTTGATAATATTATGTTAGTAATATTATACAGAGTGAAAAATGTTTGTTTCTTGTACAGATGGGGGGAAAGAGTACCTTTTCAGTGGAACAGAGGAGAATCAATTGAGATAGAGTTCTTGTCCAAAAGCTAAGTCTGAGGTTTACAGCAAAACAGCCAACAGGAGCTTGGAGGGAAAAAGCTGTCCCACAACAAAAGCCCAGCTCAAGACCCCCTAGAGACCAGAGAAGTTTGGAGCTTTAAAAGGTACGCTCTCTGTCTCACACACACACACACATTGCCATTCGCCTACAATACAGGTTCCAAACCCTGATCCTGGAGAACCCTTACGCTGCACATTTTAGTGTTTTTTGCCCAGACACCCCCACTTCAGGGCTGTTAATGAGATAATTATTAAGTCTAGACCTGTCACCATTGACAACATTTGGTGCATTATAAAGTGAAAAATATGAGAAAAAATACAAAGGAGATCCTGAACTGTTGAGCGGCTGAAATCCTACATTGAGCGAGAACAGGAAAACATTTCACTTTCAGAACAGTAACTGGAAGGTGAATTGTAGTCCTGGTGAGACACATAGCACTTTTTATATTTTGCCTTTTATTTTTTTCAACATGTTAAACTTAGCAAAAAAATAGAAATTGTGCACTAAAACATGCAGGAAATGGCATATTTAAATGCATTCCCCATAGAGAATGTATTTAAAAACAGGGATATTCAAACCTTTTGTACACACAGCCCTATGTTGATAATATTATGTTAGTAATATTATACAGAGTGAAAAATGTTTGTTTCTTGTACAGATGGGGGGAAAGAGTACCTTTTCAGTGGAACAGAGGAGAATCAATTGAGATAGAGTTCTTGTCCAAAAGCTAAGTCTGAGGTTTACAGCAAAACAGCCAACAGGAGCTTGGAGGGAAAAAGCTGTCCCACAACAAAAGCCCAGCTCAAGACCCCCTAGAGACCAGAGAAGTTTGGAGCTTTAAAAGGTACGCTCTCTGTCTCACACACACACACACATTGCCATTCGCCTACAATACAGGTTCCAAACCCTGATCCTGGAGAACCCTTACGCTGCACATTTTAGTGTTTTTTGCCCAGACACCCCCACTTCAGGGCTGTTAATGAGATAATTATTAAGTCTAGACCTGTCACCATTGACAACATTTGGTGCATTATAAAGTGAAAAATATGAGAAAAAATACAAAGGAGATCCTGAACTGTTGAGCGGCTGAAATCCTACATTGAGCGAGAACAGGAAAACATTTCACTTTCAGAACAGTAACTGGAAGGTGAATTGTAGTCCTGGTGAGACACATAGCACTTTTTATATTTTGCCTTTTATTTTTTTCAACATGATAAACTTAGCAAAAAAATAGAAATTGTGCACTAAAACATGCAGGAAATGGCATATTTAAATGCATTCCCCATAGAGAATGTATTTAAAAACAGGGATATTCAAACCTTTTGTACACACAGCCCTATGTTGATAATATTATGTTAGTAATATTATACAGAGTGAAAAATGTTTGTTTCTTGTACAGATGGGGGGAAAGAGTACCTTTTCAGTGGAACAGAGGAGAATCAATTGAGATAGAGTTCTTGTCCAAAAGCTAAGTCTGAGGTTTACAGCAAAACAGCCAAAAGGAGCTTGGAGGGAAAAAGCTGTCCCACAACAAAAGCCCAGCTCAAGACCCCCTAGAGACCAGAGAAGTTTGGAGCTTTAAAAGGTACGCTCTCTGTCTCACACACACACACACATTGCCATTCGCCTACAATACAGGTTCCAAACCCTGATCCTGGAGAACCCTTACGCTGCACATTTTAGTGTTTTTTGCCCAGACACCCCCACTTCAGGGCTGTTAATGAGATAATTATTAAGTCTAGACCTGTCACCATTGACAACATTTGGTGCATTATAAAGTGAAAAATATGAGAAAAAATACAAAGGAGATCCTGAACTGTTGAGCGGCTGAAATCCTACATTGAGCGAGAACAGGAAAACATTTCACTTTCAGAACAGTAACTGGAAGGTGAATTGTAGTCCTGGTGAGACACATAGCACTTTTTATATTTTGCCTTTTATTTTTTTCAACATGTTAAACTTAGCAAAAAAATAGAAATTGTGCACTAAAACATGCAGGAAATGGCATATTTAAATGCATTCCCCATAGAGAATGTATTTAAAAACAGGGATATTCAAACCTTTTGTACACACAGCCCTATGTTGATAATATTATGTTAGTAATATTATACTGAGTGAAAAATGTTTGTTTCTTGTACAGATGGGGGGAAAGAGTACCTTTTCAGTGGAACAGAGGAGAATCAGTTGAGATAGAGTTCTTGTCCAAAAGCTAAGTCTGAGGTTTACAGCAAAACAGCCAACAGGAGCTTGGAGGGAAAAAGCTGTCCCACAACAAAAGCCCAGCTCAAGAACCCCTAGAGACCAGAGAAGTTTGGAGCTTTAAAAGGTACGCTCTCTGTCTCACACACACACACATTGCCATTCGCCTACAATACAGGTTCCAAACCCTGATCCTGGAGAACCCTTACGCTGCACATTTTAGTGTTTTTTGCCCAGACACGCCCACTTCAGGGCTGTTAATGAGATAATTATT